TATAATTAAATTATTAATTCAATTTATGATGTCTGTTGCATTAAGCTGTTAGGAAATGAGGTGCCTCTTTCACATGTGTATACTAAAATTAAGTATTTACTTAGATAAGAGGTAGACAACCCATAGCTCATGGCTTGTTATTATATTGGCCCAAGCACAAAATTGTTTCATATTTTTAAAGGATTGTAAGAAATAAAAAAAGAAGAATATGCAACAGAGACCATTTGAGACCCCCAAAACCTAAAATATTTACTACCTGATCTTTTACAGAAAACTTGCAGACATCTGATTTAGACAAATGACTTGTAATTTCATTTTGTAGTAATATGACTCTCCAAATAGCTATCTTTAAATAAAAAAGCATTTTATAATTATCGTGCTCTGTTTCTTTTCCTTACTCATTTTGCAAACTTTAAATCAAAGTTCCATTACGAGGTTAGGTTACTGTAGCTCATAGATGGTGGTAGCAAGTTCTGGTCTCTACTTTTTTATTGATATATGCTTGGACTGATGTGGAGGTATATTGCTTAATTTAGGCCAAAGTCATGCCCTTGCCTATACTTCATATAAAAGTATTGCCCTCCTGAAAAGCCCATAAAGGCAAACAAGGTTGTAAGCATTGCCATTTGTTATTATAGGGGCCAAGGCCTTGGCCCTCTGAAGGTTTGCTGAAAGATCAATTGGTTAAATACAGATTAATTGGCAAAAGGGCATATAAATTTATTTCCTGTTTACAAGGAAGTCTTCAGAATGAAGACCCAAAGATACAGGGGAATGTATCCATTTTTATGTTTATGTTCAACAAAGTGTGGGCAGCCATGTAGAAATATGACTGGACAAAAAGGGTGTGATCTCATGCTAATAGACTAAGGAAACCCAGCAAGGCCTGTCCATCTAGATTCTTCTTGGCCTCTCTAAGCACGCATCCTTCCTTCTGGGTGTTGGGCAGACCCTCTCTGGAGGGTCAAAGAAGGTAAGTCAGATAATTTCTTTCTGCCCAATTTTTACACGGAAAGTCAGAGAGAAAGTTAGAGTAATGTTTTCAGGCTTTATGGCTGGCTTAGGGGAAAAGGAGTTCTGGTTTCTACCTACCTTGGGGAAGAGGGATTCTAGTGTCTATGGTTAGCCTTGGGGGAGAATGGAACTGGGAGACAGGAGGGCAGGGGGAAGTCAGAGGAAAACTTTTGCTTATGAGGCCTTCATTTTGGGCTATTGTTTTCTGGTCCTCAGCATAATTTAGGTGAAATTAGTTAAAGGTTGTGATGAGATGAAATAGTCAAATGTCTATTTTATTTCTTTCTATTTCTAGAACATTCTAAACTGCTCATTTTTTATCATTATGTACTATAGCAGTGTGGTGGGTCCTGTTATTGTTACTGAGCAATCAATGAGCTCACTGCCCAATGCACATAGAACCAATACCATGGCACCAGGTTTTGAGAAAAGAAAAGCTTTATTGTGAATTGACTAGAAAGGACACAGGAGAATACGCTCAAAGCAGTCTCCCTGAACTGGGGCCTGTGTTGGGATTTGTAAGTGTAGGGAAACGAGGTGTAATTGCACTGGATCCTGCCACAGAGTGATGCCAGGGCTTGATCTGATTGGATCCTGGATCCTGACATGTGGTCCGCAGTTCTTAATTCAGTCACTGCTCCTCAGACAAAGCACTTATGTTCTGCCCGTGGTTTCACACTTGGTTCATCTGAGCATGCTCAGGTGACCTGGGGGCCCATAGCAAGTCAGAAACAACTCAAGACTTTGTTACAGAAAGGTTGAGCCAGATTGGTCTGGTGCAGTTACACTACTTCTTGGGTTGTTAAGTTGTTAACATTTAGAATTTAGTCTTTGGCGATATATTTCACTAAAGCACATAATACAAAAAAAAAAAAATATTACTAGCAAAGAAAATCTACATATTTCTGCCTAATCGGTATGAAAAAAATGTTTTGAAATATTCCCAAATGCACACACATCACAACAGATAAAAACACCTAAAGGGTAGATAGTTAACATGTTTTCGGTAAGTGGGAGTACCCAACTACATTTTTTAAGTAGCATTTGTCACACTTCACAGATCCAGTATATCCTAAATAAAATATGGGCTGTGATTTCAGTTATTTTAATTTGACCTCCATTTTAATTTCTTTCACTTATGCTACATGACATTAAAATGCACTATTACTTTTTAGATGAGATTTAAAAACTAACCCTGTTAAAAATGGGCAAAAGGCATGAACAGACCCTTTTCAAAAGAAGATATATAAATGGCCAGGAAACATATGAAACTATGCTCAACATCACTAATCATCAGGGAAATGCAAATTAAAGTCACAACAAGATACTACCTTACCCCTATCAGAATGGCCATTATTAAAAAGTCAAAAGACAATGCATGTTGGCACTGACGCAGTGAAAAGGGAGCACTTACACGTTGTTGGTAGGCAGGTAAATTAGGACAACCTCTATGGAAAACAGTATGTAGAATTCTCAAAAAGCTACAAGTAGATCTACCATTCTATCCAGCAATCTCACTCACTACTGGATATCTACCCAAAGTAAAATAAATAATATATATAAAAGATACCTGCACTAGTATGGTTATTGCAGCACTACTCACAATAGCAAAGACATGGAATCAACCTAAGTGTCCATCAGCATGCCTGGATATAGAAAAGTAATATATATGCACGATGGAATACTATTCAGTCGAAAAAGAGATGAAATGATGTTTTTTGCAGCAACTTGGATGGAATTGGAAGCCATCATCCTAATTGAAGGAATACAGGAATGGAAAACCAAACACCTCACGTTCTCACTTATACGTGGGCGCTAAGCTGTGGGCACGCGGGGCACAGACTGGTACAGTGGACACTGGAGACTCAGAAGGGGGTGAGAGGGGAGCGAGGGGAGAAAAACCACCTGTTGGTGCAACGTGCGCTATTCGGGGGATGGGTACACTAAACACCCAGACATCACCACTATACAATTCATCCATGTGACCAAAAACCACTTGTATCCTTAAAACTATCAAAATCATAATTAAAAATAATAATAAAAAAGAAAAACTTCTCTTCACTTGGATGTGCAATAATTCCTGTTATAGGAATTTTAAATCTTAATTTTCCCCCATACTTTTTATTCTGAATTCCAGATATTATCTTATTTTGATCAGTCCTAACTTGTGTTCCTCCCCACCTCTCCAGTGACCGGTGCAGCCGTGTCCCAGCGTGTCCAAGTCCATTCCTCAGGTGTCCATAAACTAGGGGAAGCAGCGGTCTTCGAGTGATAAGTACTTTGGAATAGTGTTGTCATAACTGCTGCTTTTATCCTGTTTGTGTCTCCAAATTCAGGCTGTCCGGACAACAGCTCTGGCTCTGGATGTGAAGGTCCCCTGCAAGGGTTTCAGGGCTGCCTGAGGCTCATCTCCATTGGGGACGAAGCGGTGGATCCCATCTCGGTACAGCAGGGGGCGCTGGGGCGGTTCCGTGATCTCCAAATAGACTCCTGCGGCATCACAGACAGGTAAGGGCTATCTTAGGTCACCTTGGCGTACTTGTTTTCAAAGTTGTTTTTTTTTTTTTTTTTTTAATGGTAGACAGCTGGAAAATAAAGCGTTTCACTCTCTCTTTTTTTCCATTATCTTTCCAGAGGGAATGAAATAGTCATATTTACAATGAGGATTAGAAAACTGCGATCCTTAATTGAATCAATAGCATTTTTCAAATGATTATATTTTATTAGAAGTTATATACGTTATGAATTTTAACTCAGTATGATCCCAGGTTACTCAGTTCATGGTTATCAGCCAGCTTTTGCAACCCTGCCCCCGTCAGGTGGATGATACTTTCCTGGGCACGGGAACTTGACAGGTTGCTGCTCTTCATCAGCCACCCAATACTACCCCTTCTGCAGAGAAAATAAAAGGCGATGTGTCCTTCTAGGAAAGTTTGAAGCGCAAGAGATGGATGAATATATGTGCATAGTGACACAGACTCAATGAAATATGGAGAAGACAAGAAAAACATTTAATTTATAAATATTAAGTATTATAACCACAATCATGCTGCCAGATGTGCCATATATTAATATTTCTAATGATTTTGGCTGAAAAGAAACAATGATTCACACCTGGAAAAACAACATTTCTATATGCCTTAGTGCCATCCCTTTGGTATCTACTTTCAACAAATGAATAAATGCTACAGATTAAAAAATTAAAAAGATACTTCTACATATGGTAGACCTTTCAAAACTTTTCTTCTTCTTTGTGTTAGTCAATTCTAAACTGTCAAATTATCATCTCCAGCTAAACAGGTTGTAATTTGCAAACCATACTTAGTGATATATTAAAAGAACATAATTCCTATTGAGTAAAAAATTCACTCATATGAACTTCGTTTATTCAACACCAATTAATTTTCCCCTGTGAACATTCTGTTGATTTGTAGAAAAAAATTAATTCAAAGATGAGGGGTGTATAAAGTAAAGAATTGTCCAATAACTCTCACTGTTGGCCTTGGGAATAGAATTCTTGGCTTAGGCCTGGGACTACATTCACTAGTTATCCCACACCAGCTCTGGAACCCCATGCCATGGGCATAGGGAGGGTGGTTGGGGAGGCTGCTGGCTGCTTGCTCAATGGAGATCTGCTCTCCAGGCAGGGAGCGGCCCCCACTCTGCTGTCTGTGGATTGAAGGGAGGTGTCCCATGGGCCCACATTGTGAGTGACGAGAGCTGTCAGCTCAGCTGTGATGCAAGTGTGATTTTCTTTGCTTGTAAAACATTGTTGTGAAATCTTGTCCGTTACTCACAAAATATGATCTGTTCACAGTATATCTGTTATGAGAATATATCCCAAAGCCGCCTTTTTCCAGAAAGGATCCACATTGCCTGTTTTGTGCATGTAGCTCAAAAAGTAAAAAAAAACTTTTTATTTTTTTTACTATTAAAGACTGTTCTATTTTAACCCTAAAGTTTCAGGAGTTACATTGGTGTCTAATTGGTCTCTAAGATCCCATATTTTTAAAAGGGTTCTGAAGCGTACCCCAAGTTACTTGTAAATATGTTCAACTAAGCATGTGTATGTGAGCCACAGTTAAACTTCAGCCACAGTGTGTACAGTAATCATCTCAGATACAGGTTTTAAGAAAGCACTTGTAAATTCTTTTCAAATAGGACTGCAAACAGAAGTTATTCACTATATAGAGTCTCTGTAGTAATATAGAAGTCTAGCTCCCCTGGAATTTTATAAAAGAATAAAAATTAGGAAAGTTTGGTGCACAAAATGAGGTTCTACAGAGTTAAAATTAAAAGGTCTTTGCTACTTCCTTTATATTCAGGGTGAAAATCCTAATAATGCTGAAAATTCACTTTTAAGTATCTGGAAAATAGGCCTGTAAACATCTGTTAGCTTTTTGTTGTTAAAAAAACAAAACAAAACTAGTTTAATTCACAAAATAGAAATATATGTCATTCAAATACCAAACCTAAAAATCCTACCTAGGGACAAATATGTGAGGATGAAGTTATCATTTTTAATCAAAATTTTAGGCTAAGCAAAAAATAGGTAATTCGCACTGTGGATGACAGAGCCACAACTGTGACTGTTTTGTGTTTGGACACGTTCCAACTTCCAAAATCACCTCTTACATCAGACTGCTATGATCTTTAGGTGAAAAGGCCTAGTCTTACCTTTGCCCTACATGCCACGTGACAGAGCTTCCCATGGGGCTTCAGCTGCCTGCCGCCTGGATCCCCTTGAGCAGGGGGCCTCCCTCTGGTCACCGACTGTGACTGTGGTGGTCAGGCCACCCTCCGCCCTGCCCTCCCCTGCCCTCCCCCTGCGCTGGTCCCCTCCACGCTGGCTGCCTCCTCTACTCTACCCCATGTAAATGTTTCCTAATCCATACTGCATTTAGTTGAAAAAAATTAGCATATACTTGTTGATATTCTCTTAACCATGTAGGAGGTCTTAGTCCAAAACATTTTTAAGTAAAATTACACTATCCCTGTTGATATCAAACAGCAATGGTTTTTAATCTTTTTAAAAAATCTGTGGAACCTTCAAGTGTGACCTTAAGATGTCCCCTTAAGAAGGAGGAGGAAGAGGAGGAGGAAGAAGAGGAACGGCTGTTTTTTTTAAAAAAAGTCACACTGAAGTGGGCCTCCCCCACCCCAGCCTGTCAGCCACTCCCACCCTCCTCCCTGCCGAGGGTCTCCTGTAGGTCAGTCCACGCAGGCAGGCTTTGCCACGCCTTGGGGCCCTTGAAACATCTGAGCAGCTGGGATTCTGATCGTCCATAGGGATTCTTCCCCGAAAGCAGACTAAACTCTCACTAACCTAGTGTAGTTAGTCAAAGTCTTGACCGCAAGCTGGGGCGCGGGCCTTGCAGGGGAGCCAGGACAGTGGGGGTTTGGGGACATCGGCAGGACAGAGGGGCTGCGGTCTTTTCTGCCCAGCCCTTCGGTGCCCCTCAGGGGATCCCTGAAGGGACCAAACACAGGCCCTTGGGGCTTCCTGTCACCTCCATACCCCAGCTCCCTGCCCGCCGCAGCCTCCCAGCCTCTCCCGCCGCTGCTCTGGGCCGGGCGGGCAGGGGTCCCGCACCCTCCCGCCCCTACCTCCCTGGAGCCTTTGCAGCGCGGCCGCCGCCTCCCTCACGGCCTCCTTCCAGGCCCGGGCCGCAGCTCGGAAGGTCAGTGACCTTTGGACCTTCACCCCCTCTTACGTCCTTCGCCCCGTTCTCAGCAGCGGAGGAGGCAGGCAGAGGCCGAAGCCAAGCCAGCTCGCTCGAGGCAGAGGTGGGTAGGGGCGCTGAGGCGGGCGCCCGGGGAAAGCTTGCACTGTGCGGGCGCTGGCTGGTTGGCTCCACAGCGCACCCTCCCCCCGCTGCCTCCCAGTGACCCCACAGCCAGGCGGGCTGGGACAGCTTCACAGTGGGGACAGCAGAGTCCAGGGAACTCTGAAGTGCGCGACCTCCAACTTTGCTCTTTTTCAAGATTATTTTAGCTATTCTGGGTCCTTTGAAATTCCCTATAAATTTACGGGTGGATTTTTCTGTTTCTGCAAAAATATTTTAAAGAGCCATTGGGATTTTGATAGGCATTGCACTGAATCTGTATGTAGATTGCTTCGGGTCGTATTGACATCTTAACAGTATTGAGTCTTACAATAACGGATTGCTCCTTTTAAATCTAAAAGGTGACAACAAGATGACCTAAATTAAATGTTCTTGAAATTCCTCAGTCTATGTTACTATGTGACTGAGATGCTCCTGTTCCATTCTCCTCCCCTGTCTCTCCCTCCCTGCCTCCCCTACTTTCTTTTAAGAATGTCCACAATGTAGTAATGGAGCATGACAAATTTTATAATTTTATGTATGTAATTCATTTTGCTAGCCACGTGTGAAGTATCATGATGTCACTTGGGGCAAAAAGAAAAATATGATGTTGAAAATTCAGCTGTCACACATACATAGTAATCAGCTGTGTGCTCATGGATATATTTATCTAAAATTTATCAGTATGATCAGAGAACCGTGATGGCGGACCCAGTAACTGCATGTCATGTGGAATTTTCAGATATATGCTGTTTTGTCACATTAATCTATTTCTAGTAAATAAACACTTATGATGATTGAAAAAGGGGAATAGTAGTTGTATCTGTTTTCTTTTAGGTGCTTGCCCAGCTACTGTGAGCATGGGGGTGAATGTTCCCAGTCGTGGGACACCTTCTCCTGTGACTGTCTGGGCACAGGCTACACAGGCGAGACCTGCCATTCCTGTAAGCCTCATTGTTCTCGTTTCCATTATGATTTCTTTGTCATTTCATTTCCATTAGTTGTTTATGTGTATCTGCATATTACAAATCATGCGAACACATCAGATGAGGAAATTAGCACCTAATTAATTTCTCATTTATTTTTAATCCTCCAACTCATTTAATACAAGGGTGTTGAGGTAGTGCACGGACACATGTAGTACGGAATAGGATAAAAGAAAGAAGACGGCAAGCAATGGGAAAATAAGTATAGGAAAATGAGATACAGTCAAGAGTAAACATTAAATTAAATCAAGAATGCATGATATAACATCTTGTTCCATTGCTTGAGTTGGGACATACTTTTAATTCTGAGAATCTTTTCAGTCAAAGAAAGATGAAAAAACAATCAGTTGCCAGGCTCTCAATGTTAAATGTAGTAATATTAAAGATTTTTTTAAAAATCACGGAATGGTTATGCTGCACGGTAAGGCTTTAGAAGAGGCAATTAGATATCAGCTAGAAACTAGAGGATCTTTAACGTCTCCTACAACTGTCATTTTCTTTGATGATGATTGCAAAGTTAATAATTACAAAAGTGTACATTTATTGAGTACTTAAATATGCCTGTCCTCTTCTAGTGCTTTGCATGTATTAACTCCTTTAACCCTAATGCAGCTCTAGGAAGAAAGTACTATTATTATCTTCATCAAAGAGTTGAGGACAGAAGGAGGTTAAGTGACTTGACCCGCAGCTAGCTGGTGGCGTGATAAGTAGCTGAGCTAAAGAAGTTGGCTCCAGGATGCCCGAAGGGTGGTCCTCAGCCCAGAGAGCATCAGAACCACCTGGGAACTTGTTACAGTCAGGAATGTCCGGTCTCACCAAACCTACTGAATCAGAATCTGTGGGGATGGGGCCCAGAAGTCTGTTTTAACCAACCTTTCGTGTGCTTCTGATATTCAGTGAAGTATGAGAACAATGTCTAATGGATGTTGTATTCTAACGCTTCTCCACTGCCTCTCCTGTATTAAAAACCATCTGTCTTTACTGAAGAACCATCCTCTGTGTATTTTAAAGGCCAGGCCATTTGATTGACCTCTTCAAGAAAATGGAGTAAGATACAAAGTCCTCAGTTCTACCACTGACTTGCTCACGCTGAGGTCCTACTTGAAACATTTAAGAACTCTTCCGTGGGACTTATTTAATTTGATTTTCACAAAAACTATAGAAGGAAGGCAAGGTTGGGATTTTTAAAACTCACTTTACACGTGCAAATGAAGCTAAATGAGAATCCTATGCTCCCAGCTCTGAGGTTCTAAAAAAGATCTGGGCAAGAAAAGAGACAGTCCATGGCCAACTCTGTTACGGATTAAAATGTCAAGCATGATTTTAGTACTAAAAGGGTTTTTGTCTCTAAAGCCATTCCACTCTTTCTAGAAGTTGAGTGGCCTCTAAAACCAGAGACTGAATGTCTTTGAGAAGGTCACAGAGCTGGTGCAGGGACCGGATCTTGTACTTCTGTGCGTCTTCCATCCTCTGAGCAGAGTATCTTACACCAGGCAAATGCCTTGTCATGTGTGTTGCTAGACAACCCCTTTGTGTCCTCCACCATACCCAGCATCATCTCTTACATGTTGTGTTTAATGAATGAGTCATGTTAATGCATGGTTATTACTGTAATCAAAACACAACTCCACACAATTCAGAAAGAAAATATCAGAAGATTGAAAAAAGAATTTCAAATGTCAATCTGATCTCATAATTGGGTTGACTCTGTTGTGGTTTTCAAACAGATGCTCCAAGCAAAGGTGGAATTTTACCACGCCATTGACCATGAGGCTAGATTGCTGCACCTAGTTATAATAGGCTATTTTTGTTTTGGACAATTATACAATTAGTACATGTCTACATTGTCATTTAAAAAGTCAAACAATTCGCATAAAGCAAAAGTTCTCCTAATCACCCCCTCAATATTTGTTCCCTATCTAAACCTGCCCTGTACCCCAAATCTAACCATTGTTATTAATTTGAGTGAATCTATTAGGCATTTATAAATATATGTTTCTACTTAATTAAATATATAATGAGTGACCAAAAAAAAGTAAAGAATTACAGAAAGGCTATTTATTTCTCCATCCTATTTATTTCTCCATCTATGAAATTGTGAAAGGAACACCATTGATTTGGGGCAATTTATTTTGGAACAACTCTTGTTTGACAATTGGCCACATTTACATTAAGGTTGCTTAGTTTTAAGATTTTTTTCTTGCAAAGAAATAGTTCTCTAAATCTCTTATTTGGTGAAATGAGAGAAAAATAACTCCCATGCCTATCTTTGGGTTTTGCCTTAAGTGTTTGAAAACATTTTTTCAGTGACTATTTATGAAAGTAAGTATGGATAATTCAGTCAAGGGATAAATGTCCTTCTTATAATGGCATAAATATTTTCCCTTCCCTTTCCCATATGTTGGCTTCTTTTTCCTTATATTTCATCTGTTTACTTTGTTTGTCCTCCCCAACCTCGTCGGTAGAGATGCCAAAATGTACTGATACAGGTGAGGCTGGTACTTATGGCTCTAATGAGAGGGTCCAACAAGGCTGATGTCCCTCATGTAGCTTCTTCCAGGAGCCATTATCGTCCTTCCTCTTCTTCAATATGTGTTTTCCTGGCAGCCAGCGTGTTACCCTGCTAATCTTCCTTTTAAACTTATGCTAGACATTAACATGGCCATCACCTGCAGATGTTAATTCCATACCTTGCACTTGGTAAGGCATTTACTTTCACAATAAAAATATTCAATTATTTCAGAATAAGTTAACATTATATAGGAACATCTTTCAAGAAAATTTTTCTCTCCTGTTTTCAATTTCAATTGTCTTGAATTGTCATTTGAAGACTACTTAAGGAAACTTCTTTTTCAAATCAATTGTAAATATTTTCTAATGAAGAGAGTTTACCAGTTTGTAAATTATATTTATCTCTTTAAAATACTTATTTGTAGCTTGCTTTTAAGTAAGCAAAGGGTATAATTACTACATAATTTGAAATACTTTAAAGAATGCTTATTGGATAGTACCAGATTATTTAGTTATGTTAAAGCTAATGTACTTCAATTATTACAGGTAGAATGAAGGTTTCTTCTTTAATTACAGCACTTTATTCTGAAGTACAGTTGCCACAAGTTTGAAAAGAATCATGCTTCAACTGCACCTGGGATTCAGATTCACAGGTTTCCCTATAATACCTGTTCAAATCTTTTACACTGTACTTCAGAATTTTCATGCCTCACTGCTTAAAAGCAAAAGAAAACATTTACATGGAGAAAATATAATGTCCAGACATTACCGAAAGACTGTATTGAAGATGGTATCACATTCCCATTGCAACCACATCTTCATATTTCAACACCAATACATTATTTCCTTCTTCCCCCAAATAGAAATATATTATATACAAAATATTTATTCAGCACTTTATAGCATTCAACATTTAAATACATTTGACTAGGTAATTTCCTTCTTTGTTAATAAAAATACATTTAATTTCTAAAATGTCATTTTTTTCTTCCATCTAAGCAAATATAATGTCATATATATTACTAAAAAATGATGTTGGGTAATATGTATCTATGTCTGTAATTCAGAAATGGAAACCTTTTGGATACTAATTAAAAATATTGAGGGATTCATTCTGTTTCTGATGGACGGTGTTCTCCTTCAGCTCTCTACGAGCAGTCTTGCGAAGCCTACAAGCACAAAGGGAACCCTTCTGGGCTTTACTACATTGACGCAGATGGAAGCGGCCCCCTGGGACCATTTCTTGTGTACTGCAATATGACAGGTATGTTAATAACCTTTAAATGCAGTTGTCTGCTGTTCACATATACTATCAGAATAGACCAAGGAAAAATTTACCTAGTGTCAGTGCTATTAAAACATGCCGTTTGATAGTTGTGTACTTACTAAGTAGATGTATTAAATATGTACTTGTTAATTTTTCGCCAAGAAAATTTTCTTATATTTTTTGTTTACCTAGGTCAGATTATAGGCAAGATTTGATGCTCTGCCAGGGCATCCCTGCAGCTCCTACTCTTCTCATAATACACCTGTTCACATGCATCACAATAAAATATAAAGCTTTGATTCTATCATTTATGTATTAAAACATGCCGTTTGATAGTTGTGTACTTAGGTCTTTAGAAGTGCTAAGAAATAATATATATTAGTGCTTTATGTACATCTTAGATAATTTAGTGATTTGTATGGCATATATTTTTTCATAATTGAAGTAATATGATTCTTTGATTATCCGATATTATAAAACCACTTCTGGTTTAGATATTATTACAAACGAACACAGCCTGGTTATAGAAGATTGCAGTAAAATGTCTCTTAGACAGTTAAATTTTTACAGAAATTTGTCATTACCTAGCTCCTCCAACTCTCCAGAAAGTGGAAATATGGAATAAATAGTTCTCATCTATTGTGCTGAGAAAAGGTTCCAAAGTTTCATAAATGTGGACAGTAATCAAATGGGTCAGAAAACCAAGTAAAAAAAAAAAAAAAACCCAGACAACTGAAAGTACATAGGAATTAAAAATGCTTTGGCAAAGATTGCCAAAAAATATTAAAATTTCATAGGGGAAGTCTGGAAAATTCAGAGCCACCTGCAGCAAGGTGCTAAAGATAGAGAAACACGGAAGTCCTGCCAAGAGATACCAACTTAAAGTGAGAAACCCCATAAAGTGGTCTTGGCAGAAACCAAAGAACTCAACCAAAGTCACAACCAGGAAGAAACTTTGTGGTCATCATTCTAAGATGAGGAAACCAAAGCTTAGAGAATTTGGTTAGAGCAGTATCTACTGACAAAATCTAGTTAATGACAGAGGAGTCACTAAATCTGGTCTCTTTTCTTCCCTAGAAAGGGTCACCTTCTCTCTAGATGTTGCATTGCCCTATAGCCAATAAAATATTCTCTAGTTGTGCCAGTCAAGCAATAACAGTTATAAAATGTGTGACAGTCAAACCACTATTGCAATAGCTTCAAATGTATATATGGTAATAATTTTCAAAAAACAGTGATTTCAGTCCAGCATAGTTGGAGCTTACAACAAGGAAAAAGCTGAACAAGCTGAAAAATTGACAAATCTTTTTAGATGCAGCAGACAAGTGAGGTCACAGGGCAAACCTCTGCCCCCCAAAATTACCTCCCAGGCAGGCAAATATATACAATCACTGCTTATCCCCATAAGCAGAAACCTTTGGGAACACTAGTCTCAAGGAAGGAAAACCTAAACTGAAATTGCTGGATGCTCAGTGTGGACAAGGCTGAGACTTAAAAACTCCCAGGGGACCCAGTCATAGAAGGGTCCCCACACTTTTGTGAGTTTCACCTCTAGAAGCTTGAGAAGGTGCTCACAGTGAACATTGGAGAAAAAGCTCTTCATGCTTCCAGAAGGGGAGGTGAACAGGAACCATTCTGAAGTACACCAGCGCATCCTGTGCTTCTTAACAAGGCCTTCCCTCAAGAGAAAATATTTTACCAGGACCTAAACTACTGTTTTTTTTCAGAGCCTACCTATGTGGAGACAGGGAAATACCCAACTCCAGCCCCCTCTAGCCATCAGATCCCACCTGGGCTGAGAGCTGAGGAGCACTTTTAAAGTTCACTGCCCAGAGGCACAGGCTCGCTAAAGGACTGAGACCTAATCATAGGGGCTATAGAATGCTTCCCTTCCACACATCTTACCTACATTACTAAAGGCCTATTTGCAGAAGTTACTGTTACCTAGTACATCGTGTCTGGACATCAAGAAAAAATTTCAAGGCATATTAAAAGGCAAAACACACAGTTTGAAGAGAGAGAACAAGCATCAGAAACAGACTCAGATATGGCAGGGATGTTGGAATTATCGGGGAATTTAAAACAACTACATTCAATATGCTAAAAGCTCTAATGGATAAACTAGAGGGCATGCAAGAACAGAGGAGCAATGTGAGCAGAGGGATGGAAATTCTAAGAAAGAAGGAATGCTAGAGATCAAAAACTCTGTAACACAAATGAAGAATGTCTTCGATGAGCTCATTAGTAGACTGGGCACAGCTAAGGAAAGAATCTCTAACTTGGAGGTATCACAAAAGAGATTTCCAAAACTAAAAAGCAAAGAGAAAAAAAAAGACTTAAAGAGACTTAAATAAAAGAGATCACATGTGAGAATAGTGGTACAACTATAAAAGGTATAACATATGTAAAGAGAATTTTAGAAGAAGAGAGAAAGGAACATACGCACTATTTGAAGCAATTATGACAGTAAAGTTCCATAAATTAATGTCAGACACCAAACCACAGATCCAGAAAGTTTAGAGAAAACTAAGGCAGTATAAATGCCCCTCCCCCCCCAAATACACCTAGGCATATATATTCAAACTGTAGAAAATCAAAGGAAAAGAAAAAATCTCGAAAGAAGTCAGAGGAAAAGAAACACATTACCTATAGAGGAGCAAAGGTAAGTATTCCATCTGACCTCTCTTTAGAAACCATGCAAGCAAGAAGAGTGGAGTGAGATATTTAAAGTGTTGGAAAAAAGAAAAAAAAAAACCCACCTTCGAGTTCTGTACTTTGCAAAATTATCCTTGAAAAGTGAAGAAACACTTTCTCAGTTGTGTTGAGATTCTCCAAAAAGAGGCAATTCTTAATGTGTGTGCTCCTTACAACAGAGCACTGTGGATCTTGATGGATCTTGCTTTCTTTTTTCTTCCTGGACACATGGGAATGGGCGTACTAGATCCTGGGGATGCATATGCTATATTGAGCACATATTATTATTTAAATACAGATGATCCCCAATTCCTGATGGTTCCACCTATAATTTTTCAACATTGTGATGTGAAAGCAATACACATTCAGCAGAAACCATACTTCAAGGATCCATCTGACTGTTCTGTTTTTCACTTTCAGTATAGTATTCCATAAATTACATTAGATACTCAACACTTTATTGTAAGATAGCATTGTGTTAGATGACTTTGCCCAACTGTAGGCTAATGTACTTGTTCTGAGCACATTTAATGTAGACTAGGCTAAGTGTATTAAATGCATTTTTCACTTACGATATTTTCAACCTACCATGGGTTTATTGAGATGCAATCCCATTGTAAATGGAGGAGCATCTGTGCTGCTAATCCTAATCAATCATTAGCTTAATTTCATCAACCCAAACTCTGTAAAATAATTTAAAAAGGTTTATTCTGAGCCAAGTACGAGTGACTGTGGCCTGGATCCATGCCCAAGAAGCCTTGAGTAAGTGGTCTTGCCGTGGTTGGGTCATGATTTGGTTTTATACATTTTAGGGAGACAGAAACTACACATAAAGTCATAAACCAGTACATGGAAGGTGTACATTGCTTTGGTCCCAAAAAGGCAGGACATCTTGAAGTCAGGCATTACAGGTTATGGGTGGGTTTATAGATTCTTTGATTTGTAATCTGTTAAAGAAATGAAGCTTTGTCTAAAGGCTTGGAATGCTTTAAGATAAAGAAGTCTGTTAATCAGCGACGAGCCATGGAAAATATACCCAGACTCAAGTGATCTGTTAAGTCTGCAGTCCCCAAGCCCCAGGCCTCAGACCAGTACCAGTCCATGGCCTGTTAGGAACCAGGCCACACAGCAGGAGGTGAGCCGGTGGGTGAGGGAAGCTTCATCTGTATTTACAGCTGCTCCCCATCGCTGGCATCACTGCCTGAGCTCCGCCCATCCTCCTACATGACCCCCTCCCCACCCCCTCCATGGAAAAATTATCTTCTATGAAACCAGTCTCGGGTCCCAAACTTTACTATGTTAAGTAAATGGATGACCTGCAGGTGCAGTTTAAGCTTTGTCTTGCATAGCCCTAGGCCTGTTAATGAGTTACAAAGGATATCTCCAAGAAGGGAAGGGGACATGAGGGGGCATGAGGTGGCATGTCTGACCTTCCTTCTCATGGCCAGCAACTCAGCTTTAGGGTATTTCTGGGGTCCCCTTGGCCAAGAGGGGGTCCATTCAGCTAGGGGGCATTTTATTTTAGTTCACAATTTTCTAAATTGGATATTTATTTGAGTGATCACCTAATACTGTGGGCCCCACCCCCTGGGCCACAGCCCGGTACAGGTCCGTGGCCTGTTAGAAACCAGGCTGTGCATCACTGTCTGAGCTCCGCTTCCCCTCTGCCCCCTCCACCCCCATCTGTGGAAGAACTGTCTTCCATGAAACGGGTCCCTGGTGCCAAAAAGGTTGGGGACTGCTGACCTAATAGTCACCCTTCTTGTAGGCCAATGAGACAGGCTCCAGTGAGTCAGAACACACATGTTGTGTCTGACTCAATCACACTTCTGAAACCCTTGCCACATTTAGCCACTGTTCAAATTAATTTCCTCAGGTCCAATTCAGGATTCAGACTCTAGGGATCATAAAGTATGTGCTTTTCCATTATAATGATTACTTAAAATTTTTATGCTTTTCTTCATAAATATAATATAGGGGTTATATTAGAGGCTCTTTAAGATCCTTCCCAGCTCCAATATGCTTATAATCTATTAAAATAAATTATGAACAATTAGAGAAACATAACAATTATCTGTGTTCTTCCTTGGGTCTTTTACTACTGATATCATAAAGATTAGTGACTTAAGTCGAATTTTATAAACACAAACATATATTGCATAATGTCCCCAGATTACTGTTCTGCTCTTCAGAAAAAACAGTTTTACAGATATATTCTCAACATTTCCCTTCTTGGTACTGAGGATGTTTTCTGTCTACATTTTGACCAAGAATGCTGCACATCTGCCATGCTGACCACCAGCCCGTGTGAACTGCGCAGGACCATCATTTCTCTCCCCTTGTAGGACAAACCATGAGCACCTGACAACACACGGCACGTGATCCATTACCCTCAGTGCCTACCATAGTGTCCTGTAAGGTTTCCCTATGTTTCAGTCAGTTGATAGGAGAAACTTGAAAGTGAATGTAGAGTAGATGATGCGCAGAAAATAATACCAGGTTCTAAAAATCCTAAAATTAAAAAAATCAGTGCTTAGTTGAAATATTATTAAAAGAAGAATCTGTGGAACTGAAATTGCTGTAGGACACTTTGAGCCTCCTTTGGTGAGTACAGTGAGCCAAGTGAACAATTAATTTAAAATTGCATTTGTTATTTAAATTCACAGATTCTTTCTGTACATGCTGCTCATTTGTGGGCATTATGTCTTTGCTCTCCATAATGTCTGTGACTAAGGGGATGTTTCAGTAGCACTTCTGGTTTTCTTGTCCCTCTTTCCTTGGATCTCTGTTTTTTGTTGTTGCCTTGCTATGTTAGGAGTGTGTAAGCACTGTAAGGCTGTTAAATTTGTCTTATGCACATTTAGCAGCCAAGCCATTAAAAATCTTGATATGTGAAAGGGTGGGAGGGTGATTTCTCAATGTGAAACCTATTGCATTGTTTTGACTCTTAATTCTTAAAAAAATCTCCATGAGAATGTTATCCAGTCTCTCCAGGTAGGAAAATTCCTGTGGGAAATGTCCATTATACTAAATATATGTTTTTAGGGGGTAAAGGACCAGATAGCACCAATGTAGTAGAATCAAGATGACTTGAAGTCAGCTTCTTTTCCGCTGAGTACTGCATAATACTGCAGGTATTTATGCAGCTGGGTGATGCTTTACACTGCCTGAGTCATTGTTGGAGACTTAAAGAACTCAAGGTGTGTTTCTTCCCTTATGAGACTGTGAAGTTGTTTTTTTATCAAAACAAATATAAGGCCTCAAAGTGACAGAAGTACATCAGAAATTATGTCAGCAGGCAGATGTCAGCGCCTGTATGTCACCTGTCAATACTTGTGTTAGATGCTTAAGGCACGGGACTCTTCAGTGCTTGGTCACTGATAGAGAAGCTGACACAATTAAACGATTTTATTTAACAGAGCTGATTCTTATTATATTCCGCCAGTATCTGGCTCGCATCATCCCAAAATGTTATCTTTTATAAATTTATTTGATAATGAGAGAAATAGACACACATACAGATGAGGAAAACACAGATAATTTTTAAAAAATGTATAGGCATAACAATTTGGCCTCATGCTTGTGTAGACGTAAAAAAACAGTTTTAAGAACTAGGAAGTCATCGCTCGCATCATATGCTTTTAGACGTGATGTCCCAGAAGTCTGAACATAAGTTCCCCCAACATACTTTCTACTAGAGGCCGAGTTCTCACTAAGTCCATTGTTATACAACTCCAACCCTCAAAATCTCTGCAAACGTGCAATAATATAAACTGCAATTAAAAAGTTAATTCAGAGAAAAGACGCTTCTACTTGGCGCGTTCCTGCTGGCCTCTGCAGCCAGTGATGCCTCCTCTCTGCCCGGTTTCCGCAGCGGACGCGGCGTGGACCGTGGTGCGGCACAGCGGCCCCGACGGCGTGACGGTGCGAGGCGCGGCGGCCTCCTTCGCGTACGCGGCCGGCGCGGGGCAGCTGCGGGCCGCCGTGGGCCCGGCCGAGCGCTGTGAGCAGCGGCTGGCTCTGCGCTGCGGGACGGCGCGGCGCCCGGACGCGCGAGGTAAGGGCCGCGGCTGGGCGCGCCGCCGGGGCAGACGCGAGCGCTCGCGGAGGTGGGCCGCGCTCCCGGGAGCGAAGGCCGAGGTCGTCCACGTGGCGCTCAGTTCAAGGCCCCAGCGCTCTCCCGGCGCCTTGCCCTTCTTGATCGGACCACAGAGCAAGAATTAGCGCTCTCCTGACAGTTGATAGACGTTCAGCGTCCATGTGCAGGACTAGTGACGTGATTTTTTTTTTTTATTCAAGGGGAATTTTGCTATTACATTATGACTTAGCTTTCTGTCGACAATTAGGACATGATGGCTATAGGCTGAGTTGAGTCTAAGCCCGTTGTTTCCCGAAGACCAGCAGGAGCTAATAATGCGTCCTCCTTACTCTTCTCAAAGTCTACTTCTAAATCTACCTGTACCATTTTGTTTTCTTCCCGTTAGAGTACCTCATTATGCCAGGATGTCACTGTTTATTCCCCAGTCCCACCACCGCCACTTTGGTCGAGGATGAAATAATTACTGAAGTTATTGCAAGATTTTTTTCAGCTGGTCTCTTCATTTTTCCCAAATGATCCAACGTATATCTTCATAAATGCAAGTAACAGGAAGCTCTGTTTGCATCATAACTCACTTCTCTTAACTCAAAAGCACGTTTTTTTTCTTCCTCTTTCCAAGAATTCCCACAGTCTCCTACAGAACTCCCCACTGCTCCCCAACACAGGTGCCATATAGTTTACTGCAAATACTTTATTATTAGTGATAGTTAAATGCTGAAGTTTGCCTTTCATTTTTTAAAATTTAGCAATCAAATATAGTATATGTTAGTAGCATAAGGAAGCCACTTTTTTTTTTTTCGAGACATAATCTCTCTCTGTTGCCTGGGCTAGAGTGTCATGGCGTCAGCCTAGCTCACAGCAACCTCAAATTCCTAGGCACAAGCGATCTACTGGCTCAGCTTCCCGAGTAGCTGGGACTACAGGCATGTGACACCATGTCTGCCTAAATTTTTCTATTTTTAGTAGAGATGGGTCTCTCTCTTGCTCAGGGCTCAGGATGGTCTCAAACTCCTGACCTAAAGAGACCCTCCTGCCTCGGCCTCCCAGAGTGCTAGGATCACAGGTGTAAGCCACCATGCCTGGTCATGGAAGCCACGCTTAAATTTCACTGTTAAATTTTCAATCCACAATCTTTCATTACATTGAAAAGTGGTGTGTGACTCTCATCTGGAGGTGGCCTGGCCCATGCCTGTACTGCCTTCCCTAATCTGCACCTCTCCTGACCAATTGGCCCCTGGAATATGCCAGACCATGTTCTTCCCCAGGCCAGACGTTTTCTACCACTTCCTCCTCCTGGATGGTCTCCTCACTTTCACTCTCTTAAATCTTACCCATTGTGCGAGACCTGTACTGTCTCCACTTGAGTCCCTTCTCAGAGTGATCTATCCCTTCTTTGGATGCCTGTCAGCCATTTCAGCCTAGTAGAAAAAGCAAAGGATTTGTTCCATTTCCGAATCTGAAGTTCACATTCCAAGTCTGTCACTTAGCAGCTGTGGAAATTTAGCTCATTGCTTACTCTTTCTAAGACTCACTTTCCGCTCAAGTGAAGTGGACCCAATAGTTCTCATCTCATAGAATTTCTTGCATAAATGAGATAACCTAAAGAAAGTTCAGGAAGTAAGAAATCCCCATTCCTAGCTCTCTAGTTTTTTATATTTATGGTTGGCATTACAAAATTTAATTATATTGCTGTTGAATTTTAATCAGTAAGAAAGATAATCACAGCAATCTAAACCAAGACCATGTAACAAAACTCATCGAATTAGTTAACTAGACAACGCCAGGCTAGCTGAGGAAACTGAGCAAGTCACATGGGAGTGAACCTCTAATGGAACTGGAAAACCACATCACCCGGTGAGCCAGTAGGAAAGCACCACGTGTGGACGGCCCACGGCCTGGACACTGCTCAGGTCAGCAGGGAAGCCCTCCCCATGGATTAGTATTTAATGCATGAATTTTCTAGCTATTACCTATTTGGATTTATTTCTAGATATAAGGATTATTCTAAAACAACAAAATCAAATTTTTAATTTGGAGGATAGATTATTATTTTTTTTTTTTGAGACAGAGTCTCACTCTTTTTGCCCGGGCTAGAGTGCTGTGGTATCAGCCTAGCTCACAGCAACCTCAAACTCCTGGGCTCAAGCGATCCTTCTGCCTCAGCCTCCCGAGTAGCTGAGACTATAGGCATGCGCTGCCATGCCCGGCTAATTTTTTCTATATATTTTTTAGTTGTCCAATTAATTTATTTGTATTTTTTTAGTAGAGACGGGGTCTCGCTCTTCCTCAGGCTGGTCTCGAACTCCTGAGCTCAAACAATCCGCCCGCCTCGGCCTCCCAGAGTGCTAGGATTACAGGCGTGAGCCACCGCGCCTGGCCTGGAGGATAGATTATTGAAAGTGAAAAATTATGAGTTTGTAAAACTACTTTAGGAAGAAAATGGTGTCCCTTTTCCACAGGCTCGATATACAAACACTTCTCATTTGTACGTCTTATGGCTGCCTTGGCAAAGCTGCCACTGGAGAGTTTTGAATATAAACTTAATTTAGACAAACATCTAGGATGGACCTGATATTGCCAGGAGCTCCTGATTAGGATAAAGATGAAACAGGAGGATAGCGTAGCCTAAATTTTCTTTATGATAAGAGAGTTCTGACCTGCTTTGCCTTACTAGTGGCCACAAACAGGTCAGGAGGAACTTTAATCTTATACTCTGTAACACTGTAAAATGAAGTAACATCTGACTCTGTTGTACTCATGCCTATGTCCTGTACCCAGAAATTGTGATTTAATTTGTCTGGGGTGTAGCCTGGGCTTTGGAATTTTAGTTTAAAAGATCCCCAGGTGATCTTTTGGAAACTCTTGGGTTAGGGCCTAAAATAATCAAAGAAATTGACTATTCTACTCCAATCATTGATAATTTCCCTATTTCTTCTCTTTTGAAAAAGAGAATATATTTCTTCTTTATAATTTTCTTGTTTTGTTTTTACTTAACTTTTTTTTTGAGATAATTGTAGATTCACATATACTTGTGAGAAATGATAGAGAGAACCTGAGTACCTTTTACTCCAGTTCCCTGCAATGTAACATCTTGCAAAACTAAAGTTCACTATCACAACCAGAATACTGACATTGATACAGCCAAGATTCATAATGTTTCCATCAGCACGAGAATCCCTCATATCCCCCCTCAATAACCACACCTGCTGCCCCTCCCACTCACCAGGCTGTAAGCCCTAGCAACCACTAATCTGTTCTCCATTTCTATGGATTTTTTTAATTCCAAGAATGTTATGTCAGTGGAATCCTGCAATTGAGTTTTTCCAGTCAGCATAATCCTCTCTAGATGTGTTTATATTGTTGTGTGTAACAATAATTTGTTCTTTTTTATTGCTGAGTAGTAACCTGTGGTGTGGTGGTACCACATTCACCCATTCACCCACCGAAGGGCATCTGGTTGCTTACAGTTTGGGGCTATTACAAATCAAGCTTTTATGAACATTCATGTACAGGTTTTGTGTGAACATAAGTTTTCGTTTCTGTGGGACGAATTTTCAAAAGTGCAATTGCTGGATCATATGGTAATTGCATATTTATTTTTATAAAAAAACTGTTGCCAAAGTGTTTTCTAGAGTAGTTGTACCATTCCCGTCAACAGTGTATAAGGATTTTATTTCCTCCACATCCTCATCAACACTTAGTGTTGCCACTAATTTTTATTTTACCTATTCTGATAGGTGTAAAGTAATATCTTCATTGTGGTTTTAATTTGCATCTCCCTGATGTCTAATAGTACTGAATATCTTTTCATGTGCTTATTTGCCATCTGTATGTTCTTTTCAGTGAAGTATCTGTGCATTTTTTTTCTATTTTCTAATTGGATTGGTTTATTTATTTGTTTTGTTTTGTTACTTTACTTTTGAGTTTTGAGTTCTTTGTATGTTCTAGATACTGGTCCTTTTTTGGATATGTTATTTGCAAATATTTTTTCCCACTCTGTAGCTTGTCTATTCGTCCTCTTAATTGGGTGTTTTGTAGACCGAAACTTTTAATTTTGATGAGGTCTAATTTATATCATTTTTTCCTTTTACAGATTGTGCATTTGGTGTGAATTCTAAAAATTCTTTGCCTACCCCTAAATCCCAAAGATTTTCAATATTTTTATAAAAGTTTTACAGTTTCCCATGTTACTTTTAATTCCATGCCTCATTTTGGGATAATTTTTGTATAAGGTGTGAGAGTTAGGTCAAGGCGCTCAGGTGCATGGACTCTCTCTCTCTCTCTCTCTGTTTCTGTTTTGTTTTGGGTTTTTTTGCCTAAGAATGTCCAGTTGCTCTAGAACCATTTGTTGAAAAGGCTATCCTTCCTACGTTGAACTATATTTTCAACATTGTCAAACATCAGTTGGACATATTTCTGTGGGTCTATTTCTATGTTCTACAAATGATTTCTATTCTTTTAAATTTGTTAAAGTGTTTTATGGCCTAGAATGTGATCTAGCTTAGTGAAATGTGCATGTGTATTTGGAAGGAATGTATATTCTGTGGTGGTTGAATGAGGTATTCTCTAAATGTGAATTAGATCTAGTTGATTGATGATGCTGTTCAGTTCAATTCGATCCTTAATGATTTTCTGCCTCCTGGATCTGTCAGTTACTGATGGAGGGGTGTTGAAGTCTCCAGTGTTAATAGTGGATTTGTCTCTTTGTCCTTGCAGTTCCATCAGTTTCTACCTCATATAGTTTGACTCTTCTGTTGTTAGGTATATACACATTAATTAAATATTATTATATCTTCTTGGAGAATGCACCTCTTTATCATTGTGTAATGCCCTTAGTCATCCCTGATAATTTCCTTGCTCTGAAGTCACCTTTGTCTGAAATTAATATAGATACTCTCTGGCTTTATTTTGATTATTGTTAGCATGATACATTTTTCTCCATCC